AGCTATTTCAATTGATACTGACATTTTATTTGAATTAGAAGTAGAAGAATTTGAAAGAGAATTTGAGTCGGGAGAAGGTATTTGTTCGTCAAATAAGTTACTTATATCAGGATATAAAGTAGACATACGTTTACAAGATTTTTAAAATATGAGACAGAATTTAAGATAGAATGTACTTACAAGTAGAATATTGTTGTTGGTCGCATAGTCTATTATTCCACGGGTTCACCTCTACTTCCGATGGAACTACAATTGGGTTATGACTGGAACTGGATTTCGAACTGGATGTACTGGACCCCAATGTAATTAGTTGTAGTGGCGATTTTTCCACACTGACAGTTTTTTTGAATGATTCCTCGAAGGAAACAAGTCAATTCAAAAATTCCTCAGCTCTCCTTCTATCAGCAATCAGAGGAACTCTGCTACTAATATCCCACGTTCTGACACCAAATTTTGTTATGGAATACTATGCGTTTATTTCTTCTCCGGACTAACTCTTTGTTTTGGAATTAAACAGAATATATTGACATGTATAAATTTATTATATTAGAGGATGAAAATTACACTGCCTGTTATTTCTTAAAACTATGAATTTATAAGTTCTGTTATCTACAATTATTTAACGATGTTTCTGGATGGATTTGAGTACAAGAGATTGGACTCAAATATTAATATTAAAATAGCAAATACGGATAGCTTATCGAACAAAGAAATAAGAGAAATAAATTATTATTATTCCATAGATATGAAGTATTAGGCGAATAAACTAGCGAAACTTATTTATTCTAAATAGGAAAATATTTATGAAGAGTATTGATTCTGATTTCTAACAGCAAATAATTATTAGTGATTATACATGAGAACTTTTCATAATTGTAAATAACATATACCAGGTGACTAAAAACTATATAGAAATACATAGATACTTTAATTATCTTACATGTGAGTAGGTAGGTACATTACAGCACATACCATGGTATGGAATCATGCAGTAGGAACACTGGACCCATTTGGCGCCATTTTTTTCTTTTGACATCTAGTGAATAACTATTACCACCCATTCCGCAGTCCCAGTCATTATCTTCAGATACCACTTAGGTTTTTGATTGTTTGGGGCTAGAGCACAGGATAATGACGTAGATGGTGCATAAATTGATAAAGAAGGTACAACACTTTCAGTATTGAGGCGTAATACAAATTATGATGACGTAGATGCTGTATCGCTTATTGAATAAGGCACAATACTTTTGGAATTAAGGCACTTTGCTCTTGAATCGCTTTTCTTTCTATTCGGATTTACAGCAACTGGATTTGTTGGAGGAGACAATATGTTGCCAAATGGATTTTGTTGAGTAGGAGCTGCTGCACATTGATTAGGTACCTCATCAAAAGTGAGTAGAGAAGGTGCAAGAGCTATAGCAAGGCTAAGAAAATATGGCATTTTTTCCCTAAGAAATGGCATTTTTATCAGAGGGGCATATTCCAGATTTTCTAAATGCATTTGTAATGTGTGATGCGGAAAAACTTGAAATGTATGCCGGATTCAGTATGGTGTGAAAATTGGTTCTATTGGGCTTCTGTGCATTGTCTTTCATATCAGCATTTAAGCTTTTAGCCTAATAAGTCTTTAATGACTTATAAACATCTACATCAATTGGCTGTAACTGATAGCTAGTGTGGGCCGGAAATTTAAATAAATAAACACTATTTTGAGACGCAAGAGATATAACTGCCGGATGGATGTGCGATGCATGTGAATCCATTAATAAAATTACTGGTCGGGCAGAGGAAATTGAGGCAATAAAGAATTGAAACCACTCCAAAAAGATCTCACTGTTCATCTATCCTTTTGGAGAAAGTTTTACTTGTGTATTTGGTAGGCAATCTTTCTTCAAATTATCGTTCCATCGAACCCCTTTGAAAATTATTAACCGTGCAATCCATGTTCCATCTTCTTCTTCTTTGGGTGCCGTCTTCAATGAAGGTTGGCGATAACCTCAGCAAAATCATTTCTGTCCCTGGCTTTTCTTATTAAAGATTGAGAATCCAAACCAGTCCACTCACGAATGTTCTTCAACCAGGACGCCTGCCGTCTACCAGGACCACGTTTTCCTTCTACCTTCCCCTCTATAAGAAGCTGCAGTAGCTGGTATTTCTCATTTCTGTATATGTGTCCCAAATATAAGGATTTCCGTGTTTTTTAATTATTTTTAAGAGTTCTCTGTCGGTACCCATCTTGTGTAGGACCTGCTCGTTGCTCATATGCGCTGTCCAGGGGACTTTCAGCATCCTTCGAAATAACCACATTTCAAAACTTTCCAAATGCCTGAGTGAGTTGATTTTGAAGGTCCAGGCCTCCATTCCATATAGTAAGGTGCTGTAAACGTAACATTTCAGCATTCGGTATCGGATTTTGAGATTGAGTGTTTGGGACGTAAACATTTGTTTCATTTTTAAAAAGACATTTCTTGCTTGTTCAATTCGCGATTTTATTTCTATGTCTGGATCTATATCTTTCGTTATCCAGCACCCTAGATATCGAAATTTCTCGACATTTTCGATAATGTTACCATTCACGTTTAAAGCCATGGGTGGATGGATGGATGTTTTGGAGACAATCATGGATGAATGCATGCACAAATACATTCCGTCATAGTTTGAGATTTGCCTCTATCTGCATATGCTCTTTTGTAGACATAACGTTTTCCAACCGAGGTAACGACTTTACTTGATTTGACTACATAAGTTAGTCCGGTTCATCGCAATTCCAGAGACGATCGGGATTATTCTGAACTCTAAGTCTAACCATGAATGTTTCTTATTTTGTATAAAAATCCCCCAGTATTTAATTATTTGACATTGAAGCCCTGTATGCAGTCAAATTTTCAGGAACACGCAGTGTTAGATTGAATCGCTTTTTGTACTGAACTCACCACCATTTACTAGCAGACTAATTCACATCGACGCTAATTCACATCGATTGCGCTCCAGAAAACCTCCGACTAGAGATGCAATAAACTTGAGCTCCAACAATTTCCAAATGAACTCCCAGTGGAAGAACATGCAGAGCGACAGACCGAACCTAATAATGAGAAACCACACCATGCATCACAGAAACTCCACCAGGTTTTGACCTCCCCCGAAAATCATGGTCAACTCTTAACAGGATAAGAAACGGGTCATGGAGTCTGCGCAGATTCCCTTTATAAATGGAGGATGAGAACCTCTGCTAAGTGCGACTGCGGCGCCGAGAAATAGACCATCCAGCATATGATTGCCGAATGCCCTCGGAGGAAGTATTATGGAGATCCTCTAGACTTCGCCCTCTGCAACACCAGCGTCGATTGAATATATTAATACATTAGATGTTAGATTGTAACATATATGTGATAATGTTGTGTATCAAATTGCCATACGCTAAATAAAATAAGCAGACTAGTTTTCTTTATTGAAGAAGTGATCTCTCTCCTTACGTTGTGACAGTTGAAAGGCTATCTTTCTTATCATCTGCACCGTCAAACCAAAACCCAATTCTTTCATTTTTATAATGTAATTAAACAAATGAGTTCCAACTTCTGCAGTAAGAGCAAACGGCCTTTCTGGTTTGGCAACTTGATGATTGTCATCTTTACTTCTACTTAAAAAATCTTTTAGTGTACTCCAGGCTATTTCACTTTGTTTACTTGGCCTGCAGATTGATATTTTCTCTACTCTTACGAGTCTTGAGGCTGCTAATAAATCGAGAGATTTCATACTGGACAATATTTTCCTTTGGATATTTTAGGCATTTTGAATTCTGAGGTAAGTTCGTGATACCCTGGATGTTAGGAAAATCTTCATAATATTTATTATTTAATATTTATAGTTCACGTATTTTATTATATCTATGATAAAAATCAAAATAAAACCAGAGTAAATACACCGCGAATCATTAGCTACATTTTACTGAAGTGAATGCACTTCAGATTTCAAGCTCTCTCGTCAACACAAAGAATAATACTAAAAAATCAGTTTTATCCCGGTTCAACAGAGCTTTGCAATTTGACTTGAAGTGGTTGGAAAGGTTGTTGAGTCTTTCCGCTAGAGACTGCAACAAAACTGCTGTTATAATGGAATTGGCTAGATCGTGACGAATTATTAAAAATTTATCACGAACTTACCTATATCACGAATATTCTTACTTTACCTATATATACTCGTCGAATGTCACTAGCGACATGATTGGGTGTAGTGATAGTGGTAGTAGGGAATTCTTGAATGTTTTCATAAATTTTAACCTAAGCTTTTACTTTTCTGTATTTTGCTAAATAGTCTATACGGTTTATCAATGCTTTGGTTGATTGGTCAAAGCCTCTATCCACTTAATAGTGTTTTAGGATATATAAAATCAAAATCCTTCTCGAAATCTATGAAGGTTAATGCGAGTAGTATTTTATATTCTTTAGGTAGTAGGGGTAGTATCATTATATTGGTAGTGGACTTATTGGTCTGTAGTTTTGATATCTCTCTGCTACCTTTCTTATGAATGAGAATTATGTTTACTGAGGTAAATAAAATAATTATTTATTGGGGTTTACCAATTTCCCTATAAGACCTATTATGAACTCTTTGACTGCTTTGAAATTTTGGTCATTGATGATTAAATTTGCGTCAACATTTATAGCTCTATGTGTTGTATCGCCACGAATTTGGTTTTATTTCGATTTATATTTAACCCCATTCGTTCTGCTGCTGCTACTCGAATGGAGTTACACATAAATTTGCATTGTTTAATTCAAATTCGTTATTTACATCATTGCTCTCCTGTAGCATAGCTTTGAAGATGGGTTTGTAAGCCTAAAGCACTCAGCTAGGAATAAAAATCTTTTACACACTTCAAAAATGCTTCCCCGTTCCATCTTTTGAATTGTTGTAAGTTGCTATAAAAACCTATAAGTTTATTTATTAAAATATATCTATTAAAAAGTAGCAATACGATTTATACAGTATTTTTGTTCTAGAATGTGGAAGAAGCGTTAGAAGATCGAGACAACCTAGAGCCGAGGTACTTGGAAGAATTATAAATGGAAAGCAAAGTATTCGAGGGGCTTGGCCATGGCAAGTAAGAATTTTTACCTAAGTTGGAAAAACATTTTTAGGTACCCGCCATTTTGTTTTGTTTTAAGAATTTTTCTTTGCTTTTTTTACGAATTTTATGTTTCGGATTTGCCATTCCAGAGATTAACAAACTGTTCGCTATAAAGCAGTAATTTTTGTCCAAATTTTTTGTGCCGTCTTTAATATAAACGAACCGTGGTAAAAAATAGAAAAAAATTTTTGTTATCTTAAAGTGGTACAATAATAAAAAAAGAAGTTTAATTACCGATATTATCATACATAAGATACAAAAAAATTGTTGAAAATATGGCATTTTTTAGCATTCTAGACGGTAATAGTAAAGTAAAAGCCATATATGAAGGCTAACAAGTAATTAACCGATGATCACGATTAATTACTCAGCCAACTCAAACAGTGGCTTTAAAATTTAATAATTCCAATCACTTGAAAAGTAAACGATTTAATTTACTATATTTTATGTTAAGTAAGAATGTTGGTTTTGTTTAATTAAAGGCAAATGAACTGAATATAATATTTATATATAATTTATTAATTAATACTACTACTACTCCGTGGCATTACAACCCTTCGTGGGTTTTAGCCGACTCGGCAACATGCCTCCACTGTTTTCTGTCTTAAGCAACCTCCATCCAATTCTTCACGCACATAGTGCTTACGTCTCTGCTATATTATCTCGCCACCGGAGACGAGGGCGTCTGCGTGGTCTCCTTCCAGTTGGGACTTCCTCCCCACACCAGTCTTACTGTTCGTTCGTCAGAATGTCTTCTGCGGTGTCCTGCCCATTGGAGTGTTCTGGATTTTATCTTTTATGATGTTGGCGTTTGGGTAAAGTTCTTCGAGATCTTTATTTGTTCTTATTCTATATTGTCCTGATGCTTCATCCAACGCAGGACCAAAGATCTTCCTTTCATTTTTCTTACACAAACACATGGTCTCTCTTCGTTTACCTTTATTATCGTCCACATTTCTCTTCCATACATTATAATGGGTCGTATGATTGTTTTATAGACCTGTGTCTTTATACGTCTTGTTAGTTGTTTTAATTGTATAAGGTTTTGGAGAGCAAAAAGACATCTGTTGCCGGCCTGAATCCTGTTGTTTATTTCTTGTGATCCGTTATTGTCTTCAGTTATTGTTGTTCCAAAATACTTGAATTCTCTAACGCGCTCAAAGTTAAAGTTATCAATGGTGTTGTTCTGTCTGATTCTTTGGTTATTGCGGCTCATATGCATATATTTCGTCTTGTTTTCGTTGATTTGGAGCCCCATCTTCTCAAGCAGAACAATAAAAGAATGGGTTGCTGCAATTAACTCTACAAGGAAAAGTAAAAGGAAAACGCAAACCAGGAAGGCGAAGGATTTCCTGGCTGAAAAATGTTCGTGCGTGGTTCAACACAACAACCAAATTTTTTTAGAATAGCAGTTTGCATGATACAGATTTCTATGATAGTCGCCAATATCCGAAATGGATAGGCACTACAAGAAGACGAAGAAGTAAAGTGAACTGTAATAGTTATAGACAATTGCAGTCCTCAGTATAATTTCAACAGTATATTGAAAGTTTTTAATTAAACCCGTAGTTTCTTAAAAAGGAAGCAAAGAAATAATCATGATTTATAGCGAAACAATCTACAATAGATTAATTGTTCTCTTTCTCCCAAATAATAGATAAAAGGACGGGAAAAAGCTAGGAAACCGATCGTGTATATGCGGATCTTAGAATAGCATTTCATTGCAAAAACTTTTTTATTCAGTCTATAAACGAATATAAATACCGCTCTTGTAAAAGCTGTTAAAGTAAGAATACTTTTTGTCTCCGACGCTCTTTAAAATATATCTAAAAAAGCTTTAGAAATTTGTTAATTGCGTTATATCTTTCAATAATACAATGATGACCACATTATACTTTGCAGATGACCAAAAAGTACTTGCACAGAATTATGAAGACGGAATATACATGATGCAAAAATTAATAGAATATAAAAAGAGGGACTTAGAAGTAAATATCGACCAAACGGAATACTTCTGTATTATCTGAGAACAAAAACGCTTGATGCTTGAGAAATATTAACAAGATATAAAACAATTAATTACTATTTAACTGGGAATAAGCCACAATTAAAGATAAAAATACGTTTATTGACGTTTCAATTTCCACTTCGCAAACCGTTCTCAAAATACAAACAGTAAATTAAACAAATTTTGTTTTTTGTTACATAGTGAAAAATTCTTCTAATAATTTAATTTTATCTGACTCATTTATATTGACAATTCAGACATACATTATGCATTTTAAAGTAGACGACTTTAAAATGATATTGCCAATATTCTTAGTTTGCGCTCCTGGGACGACTTTACTTATAAGATAGTTCATTCGATTACATGAAATCAACTTTAACTTGAGAATATCCGTCAGAAAAAAAATCATAGCATGTAATTCGTCTTTAAAAAGACAATCACATGACATGATGACAGTAAAATTCTCCTGTTGGTGATTCCATAGTAAATTATAAGGGAAAAACCAGGAAAAAAACCTCATAACACTATCCCGACATGGTAAGTATTTGTTCATGCATTTAGTTTACCTTCAATAAACACCAAAATTCTGATTGTATATGTTTCGTTATTTAAAAAACATAAATGATGTATCCTCTATATGTTACTGACTTACTAATACTGGTATTTTCTTATTAATAACTTCCTCTTTCAATATTGGTAACCAGATCCTACTACATTCTATCGAGGAACTTGCGACACAATTGGCCTCATTTGGCATAACTAGAGCCGCTTCTTTGATATTTCTTTTCTTACCATCCGTTTCTTTTAGGACTACATTTGAATTATTCTATTGAACCCTATGTTGATTATCCCAAATATAATAATAATTAATACTAAACGTATTTTTATCTTTAATTGTGGCTTATTCCCAGTTAAATAGTAATTAATTTGAAATGCCACAAGAAAATAGCTTCAGAACAATATATAAAATAATGTAAGAAATATAAATATCTGGACATGTATATTACGAATAATAGACGAATGAATAAAGCTATTTAACACACAACGAAGGAAGAAGAGCAATAAGAGAGAAGACTGGCATATTGTGGAACAGAAATATAAAAAAGAAATTAAACATTTTGTACATGACAGTATCATAAAAGGTACAACAACTTATACCAACATATAAATTATCTAATAAACCTTTAACATGTTTTTGATATCAAAAATATTAAATTTTTACTATACCAACTGAATGTAAAAATTACAAAAATGTTGCTGCCGGTGTGTTTTGATTTCATCTGTTATAATAAACAAGATAATCTACTATGCTTTCACTTATATTCGCTTTTTTTGTTCTTTTAAAATCGGAGATCTTAATTCAAAGAGATGCGAATAGATTTTCATCTGTTATGCACGCTTATTACTGGTAACAAATTTTGTAGAGATCATTTATTGAAAGTTTTAACATCTGTTAGGAAGAAAGTGAAGAAGGTGTACAAAAGTTAGTGAAAATAATGTATCAAGTCAATTAGTAAATTTTACGACTAATTGCCTCGCAAAAATGTATTTAAAAATGTCAACATAGAATCCATATACACTTGAGTGCAAAATTATCGACTCAAAAGCGATATTTGAGGTTACACCTTCTGTTTTAAATGTAAGGGGTATGAAAATAACAGGATGTAATGTGCAGTTTATTTTATTATTGAACTTATAAAAACTGCTATTTCATTACTTGGAAGACGCATTATAAAAACCGTATGCAATACGGATAGAGTTTCTCAAATATTCATCATTAGAACAATCCCAAGAAAGACGTAATGAACAGGGAAATTATAAATTACAAAATGAATTTTTTTTGTTTTTCGGTATCTGATATTACCACCCCTACTCCTTATTACACTTTCCGATCGATTTCGCATGGATCGGATGACTTTTCTAATAAATTCTTGAGGCATTGCTTCCCATTCATCATTAAGCGCAGCTCTCAACTACAATATGCTCCTTGGTGCATAATTTCTGCTCCGGACCCTTTGTTAAGCTCATACCAAACATGCTCTATTGAATTTATGTCCGGACTCAACGCAGGCCAATTTATTGTAGGTATAGCTATCTCAGTCAGATAGGTGGTGGTGACTCGTGCGGTATGACATCATGCATTATGATGCAATAAAATAAAGGCATTATTAATAAATCCCGCGTATAGAACCACATGTTTTTCGAAAATATCTCTCTTCCACGTCCTCCACCAGGCACGAAAACCAGTTCGGTTTTCCCATCCATGGAAATGCCTACCCAGAACATACAAGGAGCGCCTCCATATGACACAATTTCTCGTATACAACATTGAGCAAATCGTTTCCCTGGCCTTCTACAGACTCGACGCCTCTTGTCGTTGTCATGTTGGCAGATCCTACTTTCGTCGGAGAATAATACCTGATTCCATTGATAGTCGTCCCAATCTAGATGTTCGCAAGCAAATTCTAGTCGTCTTTGCTTCTGGGTTGCAGTTAGCTTGGGACAAGTAGTTGCCCTTTTTGGTGTCAGGTTGGATGCTTTCAGTCTCCTTCTGATTGTCCAAACGCTGGTAACCATACCTCGGACCTCTCTAAGCTCTTATTTGAGATTAGCACCAGTGAAATGTCGATTTCTCAGAGATTTAGATACAAGACATCGATCATCTCTCTCTGTTCTTATTCGTTTACGACCTCCTCCTTGTCGGCGGACATATTCATCAGTATCTCTGTACCGACGATACACTCGGGACATAGCAGATTGGCCTTAATTTAGTCGATTTGCCACGGCTCTCTAACTTAGGTCTTCTCTCAATAATTCTAGTGCTTGAGCTGCTTTGACGGATGTGGTATCCATTTGTTATGAAGTTGCGAACTTAATTGACTGATGTATTAGTAGGTTGCTATGGAAATTAATGCTTACGATGTTAACTAAATGTGTTAAGTAGGTGCGTGTCGATTTTATTGGG